TGAAGATCTTTTTTGTATAGTTCTTCTGTGTATTCTTGCCACCTCTTCTTAATATCTTCTGCTTCTGTTAGGTCCCTACCTTTTCTGTCCTTTATTGAGCCCATCTTTGCATGAAATGTTCCCTTAGTATCTCTAATTTTCTTGAAGATATCTCTAGTCTTTTCCATTCTATTGTTTTTCTCTATTTCTTTGCACTGGTCACTGAGGAAGTCTTTCTTATCTCTCCTTGCTATTGTTTTGAACTCTGCATTCAGATGGGTATATCTTTCCTTTTCTCATTTGACTTTCACTTTTCTTTTCTCAGCTATTTGTAAGGACTCCTCAGACAAAATGTCCAAAGACATTTTGCCTTTTTGCATTTCTTTTTCTTGAGATGGTCTTGATCACTGCCTCCTGTACAATGTCACGAACCTCTGTCCATAGCTCTTCAGGCACTCTGTCTATCAGATCTAATCCATTGAATCTATTTGTCACTTCCACTGTATAACTGTAAGGGATTTGATTTAGATCATACCTGAATGGTCTAGTGATTTTCCTTACTTTCTTCAATTTCAGTCTGAACTTGGCAATAAGGAGTTCATGATCTGACCACAGTCAGCTCCTGGTCTTTTTTTTTCCTAACTATATAGAGCTTCTCTATCTTTGGTTGCAAAAAATATAATCAATCTCACTTCAGTATTGACCATCTGGTGATGTCCATGTATAGAGTCGTCTCTTGTGTTGTTGGAAGAGGGTATTTGCTATGACTAGTGTGTTCTCTTGGCAAAACTCTTTTGCCTTTGCCCCACTTCATTTTTGTACTCCCAGGCCAAACTTGCCTGTTACTCCAGGTATCTCTTGACTTCCTACTTTTGCATTCCAGTTGCCTGTGATGAAAAGGACATCTTTTTGGGGTGTTAGTTCTAGAAGGTCTTGTAGGTCACCAAGGAGCTGTTCAACTTCAGCTTCTTTGGCATTAGTGGTTGGGGCATAGGCTTGGATTACTGTGATATTGAATGGTTTGCCTTGTAAATGAACAGAGATCATTCTGTCATTTTTGAGATTGCACCCAAGTACTGCATTTCGGATTCTTTTGTTGACTATGAGGGCTACTCCATTTCTTCTAAGGGATTCTTGCCCACAGTAGTAGATATATGGTCATCTGAATTAAATCCACCCATTCCAGTGCATTTTAGTTCACTGATTCCTAAAATGTCAGTGTTCACTCTTGCCATCTCCTGTTTGACCACTTCCAATTTACCTTGATTCATGGACCTAATGTTCCAGGTTCCTATGCGATATTGTTCTTTACAGCACTGGAACTTACTTCCATCACCAGTCACACCCACAACTAGGTGTTGTTTTTGCTTTGGCTCTGTCTCTTCATTTTTTCTGGGGTTATTTCTCCACTCTTCCTCAGTAGCATAATGGGTACCTATCAACCTGGGGAGTTCATCTTTCAGTGTTATATCTTTTTGTCTTTTCATACTGTTTATGGGGTTCTCAAGGCAAGAATACTGAAGTGGTTTGCTATTCCCTTCTCCAGTGGACCACGTTTTGTCAGAACTCTCTACAATAACCCGCCTGTCTTGGGTGGCCCTACAAGCATGGCTCATAGTTTCATTGAGTTAGACAAGACTGTGATCCATGGCCATCAGCTCTTTAAAGCCTCACAACGATTTTGTGGAGATAGATAGGGCAGCGATTACCATGCCCATTGTATGGATGAAGAGATTGAGGCAGAGAAAACAAGGGATTATCTCGGAAAATAGAGTGCAATTGGGCTAGAATCTTAGCCATAGCATCAGGTTTCAGGGCTTTTTAAAGTCTCTACTCGTTTCCCTAAAGATTTTGTGAAGGACAGAAGCCTCCCAGGGCTTTGGTCTAAATTATTTTCCAGACATTTCACCCACTGGCTAAGCCATATTGTCTTTCCCTCTATTTTTGAAGTGACTGGACACCAAGGAATTCCCAGGTAAACAAGAGAAATTGCCAAGTTATTTTACCTCTAATCTCTCAAAAATTTAAAATCATGGAGGAGAAAGAACCTTAGAAAGCATCCCAACCTCCCATCCAAGTTGAGAAGATTGTTTTAGTGGGCACCTGTGTTTCTGATCTGGCTTGTCCATCTCTCCCTGCCAGATATAGGTACCCCTTTTTTCCCACCTCTTTTGGAAAATCTGCTAGTTGACTGTTTGACTGAACAAATAAATTAGACTTGAGACAGGCCTGGGACCTGGGACCTTTTGTGGCAGTGCTGCCATGCTTGCACATGGACACACCTCTCCTCAAGCACCAAAATATAAAATAACTATATGGGACTAAAAATAACTGTGGACATGCTCAGCTGGGGCAAATTCAGCACCCAAAAGATACAAACAAGACCAAAATATCCAACTGTCGCCTTTTTGCAGCAAAGGGTCCCAGGTCCCAGCCTGTCTCAGGTCTTATTCATTTGTTCAAAGTCAACTAGCAGATTTGAGGAACCTGGAGCAAAAACAGGGTGTTGTGAGAAAAAGCAAGGTACTGCTCATGCCCCTTGCACATAACACCCCCCGAGGGTGAACAAAACACCTAAGCCACCCCTCTGCTGAAACCGTGGACACACCCCTACCCTCACCCCATGTAAGGAGGCCACAGTGAAGCCTTGCCTGGGTTTCTTGACTGGTCTCTAGTCAATTTTTATTGTTTGGGGAAGGCCAGGAACTCTGGTTGGTAACAGACCTATGTCTTCTGGCTAGTGAGAGACTCATGCCTGAATACAAACTTCTTATAACGTTAGCACTGTAACTAGGAACTCTGAAGACACCAAACTCAAGTTAACTGTGGGGTTTCAAACCATGTAGCAGGCTAGCAAGGGAGATATCTCTGGTCAAGATGGTGTTTTGGTAGACCTGCTAAAGGTTTTAGAAAACCAAGGCAAGCTCCCCTTTCCCACTGCATAGAAGATCAGCCCTGTCCTCAGGGAGCTGGCTCTGCTGGAAGGGAGGACTGGGGATCCAGGCCCACAGCGACTCACCCTCCTGGCCTCTGTCAGGGTTTAGCAGATGTAGCCAGGCACATTGCCCTCAATTACTCAGGAGGAAGCAAGGGAGCCTGAAGCACAAGGAAGGGAAAGAGCGGCTAGTGGGAAGATTTCCAATCCTTCTGAGAAAAAAACAAATCCATTTCCTATTCATTCACCTCCTAGATCCTGCTTCCATTCCCCCGGCTTCCTTGAGTCAATGGCAAATCTGAGCTCTTTGTTGTCATTTTCTTTGCCTTGGCACTGGTCTCTACTTGAGCTTGCTAGGGCTGCTGCTGCAGACCACCCTCTATCCATCAGCACAGCTGGCTTAGTTTGCTACAAGGGAAAGTTGAGATTTTTGTCACTCTGGTTCTGCTTCATTGCCTCCATTTCAGGGCTTGCCCCCTGATACAAGTAGCTCTTCCCTCTACCCACCCCTCTACCCCCACGACTTCTCCCCAAACCTAAAGCTTTTTCCAGAAGCATCGTTTTTATTTTTTTTTATTTATTTTTTTTATTTTTATTTTTTTTTTCTTTTTCTATACTGTGTGATGTTTATTAGTACTTGGATCAGAGAAACCCAAAGTGCACCATAATGGAGGGGTTCTGGAATTCCAGGCTGTTCTATGCATTGTAGACTGCAAAGCTCCAGCTTGTCACACTGAAGCAGGTCTGCCCAGGAAATAAATCTACACCTGGATCAGCAAAGACTCTAAGAGAAGAACTCTATTCTAACTGGGCCTTGTCGGTGAGAGATACTGATACAGAGAATAGAAGGAAGAGTTGGTGATGTCATCCTCATCGGGAAAACTGTACAGTTCCATGATTTGGGTGATATCAAATGCATCAGAGTACAAAGCAGGAACTGAGGCCACTAGCCTCTCCAATTGAGGATCTTGCATGTGGACATCACTTGTAGGAAGCTCTGGAGGGCATGGCGACCCACTCCAGTATTTTTGCCTGGAGAATCCCATGGGCAGAGAAGCCTGACAGATTACAGCCAATGATAACAGGAGGGCCAAAATTTGGATTATATATATATATATGTGTGTGTGTGTGTGTGTGTGTGTGTGTGTGTGTATAAAATCACAGCCTTTGACTTGTAATTCCACTTCTGGAAATCTATCCTGAAGAAATAAGCTGAAATGTGAACAAATATTTCTTCATAAGGCTTCCCTCAAAACTCAGTTGGTAAAGAATCTGCCTGCAATGCTGGAGACCCTGGTCGATTCCTGGGTTGGGAAGATCCACTGGAGAAGGGATAGGCTACCTACTCCAGTATTCTTGGGCTTCTCTTGTGGCTCAGCTGGTACAGAATCTGCCTGCAATGCGGGAGACCTGGGTTCGACTGCTGGGTTGGGAAGATCCCCTGGAGAAGGGAAAGGCTACCCACTTCAGTATTCTGGCCTGGAGAATTCCAAGGACTGTGTAGTCCATGGGGTCTCAAAGAGTTGGACAAGACTGAGCAACTTTCACTTTCATGTTAATTGCAGAGTTATTGTTAACAGTGAAAAAAAAATTTTTTTTTTCTATACTGTCTGATGTTTATTAGTACTTGGATCAGAGAAACCCAAAGTGCACCATACTGGAGGGGTTCTGGAATTCCAGGCTGTTCTGTGCACTGTAGACTGCAAAGCTCCAGCTTGTCACACTGAAGCAGGTCTGCCCAGGAAATAAACCTACACCTGGATCAGCAAAGACTCTAAGAGAAGAACTCTATTCTAACTGGGCCTTTTCGGTGAGAGATACTGATACAGAGAATAGAAGGAAGAGTTGGTGATGTCATCCTCATCGGGAAAACTGTACAGTTCCATGATTTGGGTGATATCAAATGCATCAGAGTACAAAGCAGGAACTGAGGCCACTAGCCTCTCCAATTGAGGATCTTGCATGTGGACATCACTTGTAGGAAGCTCCATGATCATAGAGTCCCCTGCCCAGGGGAAAGGGTCTAAGGACTGAGGTGAGAGGGAGTTATAGGAATCTGAAACTGCAAGGAGAAAAGAATGAGGGCTGGTTGATGCTGTGGGCACATCTTTGGCTGGAAGGACCTGGCTTGGTGGCTTTGGTGATTGCTGCTCTTGCTGCTGCTGCTGCTTCTTCATTTTGAACCGCCGGTTCCTGAACCAAATCTTTCACTTTTGAGGGCCCGGGTTTGATCCCTGGTCGGGGAGTTAAGATTCCACACGTTGTAGGCCGTGATGAAAAAAGTCCTGTCATGAATTCCCTTGGAGTGCCCATTTTCAAGCTGATTTATGTGCCTCTTTATGCAGCTCCTTAAGTGTGAAGAGAAGCATCGTTTTTAGAACCAAAGACGCTGAAACTTGAACTTAATTCAATGGTGGCTATAGCAGTCACCTGCCTGGTGTGGCTTCCCATTGCATCGGCAAAAGATTTCCTGTTCAGAAACACAATTCAGTTGCTTGTCAAGACAATAATAATAATAACAACTAATATTTACAAATAATCAAATATGTGCCGGGCACTGTGCTAAGCAATTTACATGCATAAAATCATTTAATCCTCAAAAAAGCATATGTAATAGGCACCACTATTATCCCCATTGTACTTCTTTTTTCATTTCAAGATGGTAGGCTGAGCACAAACATTTAAGTCCTCTCCCTCCAGAGACCTCATTAAAATAATAGTACAAAAATTTTAAAATGCATAAACCCACCACAATAAAGAGAACAGGAGGGGAGCCGTCAGCAGATGAGAAATTTAAATAAATTTCTGAAGTCAGAAAGCATCTGCAGGACTGCTAACTGATGAAACAGAGTAGAGCAAACAATCAGCTTAAACTATGTGTGGAAGTGCTGCAGCTAGAGGCAGCCCGCCTACCTTGCAAACCTTAGCAAGGTCTGGCCTTGCTATGACTACGAGGATGACAAAGAGCAGAGTGAGACGGGAGGCCAGCAATAGGGCTTCACAACTGAATCTCTGTACAGTGAAGAGCTGACCCCTAGCCTCCTACATGGAGATGATCTGGCAGCCAAATATTTACTTGCCCGCCTGAAAACAAAGGGTTTCTTCTTTACAAAAATTGAACAAAGTGTCTAGATGGAATGAGGACAGCTAATTGGGTGCCATTACCTCAGAGTTAGGCCTTCTGCAGTTTGTTTGGACCCTTCTACCCCACAACCCACAACCCCTCACTAAAGATTCATAACCAGCTCCTTTCCCACCATCCTTAAGCAAAATCTGCCCATTGACGAGGTCTACTCTTACACCCAGCTCCCAGTGAGACTCTCTACTGCCTCATTTCAAAAGATGAACAGGAAACATAGGAACATTAAACACAGGAGGAAAGGCTGGAACATTAGAGAGAAATCACAAGATAAATGGGACAAGCAGAGCTAATGCAGGGAAATAGCTTTAAATATAACTCCAAGTAGCATTCACAGAGAAATTTGAGAATATATTGCATCTATAAAACAAGAATAGGAAGGTAGACAAAATAACAAAGGATACAACTGAGCTCTTTGCAAAATTTAAAAAAATTTTTTTTTACAGCTTTTTCTTTCCATTTATTTTTATTAGTTGGAGGCTAATTACTTTACAATATTGTAGTGGTTTTTGCCATACATTGACATTCTGGTGATCTGTTTCACCCTTGATAATATACATGTTTTGATGCTGTTCTCTCAAAACATCTCACCCTCGCCTTCTCCCACAGAGTCCAAAAGTCTGTTGTGTACTTATGTGTCTCTTTTTCTGTTTTTTGCAAAACTTTTTAATGTGAACCTTTGTATGTTGTTTTTATATTTTGAACCTCATGGAAGTATTATTTATTTGAAATAAATGAGTTTAATTTTTTAAAATAATGAGCTCTTGGAAAATGAAAAATTTGATTGGCAAAACAAAAAGTCATGAAAGGTGTGTTAGTTTTCTACTGTTGTGTAACAAACTACCACAGGCTTAGCGGCTAAAAACAACACACATTGGTTATCTCACAGTTTCTGTATGGCAGAAGGCCAGGCACAGCCATCAGGGTTTCCAGCTCAGGGCCACACAAGGATGCAATCAATCAAGGTGTCCCCAAGATGTATTCTTATCTAGATGCCAAGCTCATTCAGGTTGTGGGCAAAATTAAGTTCCTTAAGGTTGTAAGCAGACCCACAACTTCTAGAAGCCACCACTCTTTTTAGTTCACAACACAGCTGTCTTCTTCAAAGACAGCAGAAGAAACTCTCCGACTTCTTCTGACTGTGACTCCTAGAACTCCTTTAAAGAACTCACCTGATTAAGTCAGGCCCACCCAGGATGATCTCACTTTCGATTAACTAAAAAGAAATTTTATTGGGGACTTGAATTATATCCACAGATTCCCTTCACCCCTGCCATGTAACCTAATCACTGGAGTAATGTTCCATCATATTCCTAGGTCCCACCCACAGTCAAATGGAGGAGATTATACAGGGAATGTACACAGGTGGCAGGACTCTTGACCACCATGTTAGAATTCAGCCTGTGCTGTGCTTTGTCAGTCATGTCTGACTCTTTTTGACCCCATGGACTGTGGCCTGCCAAGCTCCTCTGTCCATGGGGATTCTCCAGGCAAGAATACTGGAATGGGTTGCCATGCCCTCCTCCAGAGAACCCTCCCAACCCAGGGATTGAACCCAGATCTCCCTCATTGTAGGTGGATTCTTTACCATCTGAGCCAGCAGAGAAGCCCAAAAATACTGGAGTGGGTAGCCTATCCCTTCTCCAGGGGATCTTCCCGACCCAGGAATCAAACTGGGGTCTCTTGCATTGCAGGCAGATTCTTCACCAGCTGAACTACCAACAAAGCCCAGAGGATTGGAAATATCCCACAATGAAGAAAAAAAATGATGGTAAAGAAAAGAGGAAAGAAAACCAATAAATAATCAAAAAAAATTCAGAGGTTCAATGTATATCATCCAAATATTAGAAATCCCAAAAGGAATGAAAAAGAAAGTTATCAAAAGAATACTATGATCAGGGACTTCTCTGTTGATCCAGTGGTTAAGAATCCACCTTCCAATGCAGGGAACATGAGTTTGATCCCTGGTCAGGGAACTAAGATCTCACATGCCACAGGGCAACTAGAGAGTCTGAATGCCACAACAAAGATCCAGCACAGTCAAAAAATTTTTGTTTTTTTAATTTTTTATTTTTTAATTTTTTTTCATTTATTTTATTTTTTTTCCATTTATTTTTATTAGTTGGAGGCTAATTACAACATTGCAGTGGTTTTTGTCATACACTGACATCAATCAGCCATGGTTCTAACTAAAAAGCCAATAAAGGAATTCCCTGGTAGTCCAGTGGTTGGGACTCTCACTGATGAGGGCCCAGATTCAATCCCTGGCCAAGGAACAGGGATCCCACAAGCTCCATGGCATGCCCAAAATATTTTTCTTAAGAAAAATAAATATAAATAGGATGTGAGAGTTGGACCAGAAGTGCCGAAGAATTGATGCTTTTGAATTGTGGTGCTGGAGGGGACTCTTGAGAGTCCTTTGGAGAACAAGGAAATCAAACCTGTCAATCCTAAAGGAAATCAACCCTGAATTCATTGAAAAGACTGATGCTGAATCTGAAACTCCAATACTTTGGCCACCTGATGCGAAGAGCTGACTCATTTGAAAAGACCCTGATGCTAGGAAAGATTGAGGGCAGGAGGAGAAGGTGGACAACAGAGGATGAGATGGTTGGATGGCTTCACTGACTCAATGGACATGAATTTGAGCAAGCTCCAGGAGATAGCAGAGGACAGGAAAGCCTGGCATGCTGCAGTCCATGGAATTGCAAAGAGTCAGATATAACTTAGCAATTGAACAACAACAACTATAAATAAAAAGCCAACTGAATGTCATGCAGAATTATAGTTGACTCTTGAACAACACGGGTTTGAGCTGCCCAGCTCCACTTTTACATGGAATTTTCTTTTCCAGTAAATTTCTACTACAATAATACAGAAACCATAGATACAATTATGTGCAAATTTTCAACAGTGAGGAGGGTTGGTGCCCCTAACTCCCAAGTTCGTCAAAGGTCAACTATAATTTTTTTTCAAAGCCCCAGTTTCCAGTCATGTGCAAGGTATATATGCTGAATGCTAGAAAACACTTATGAAAGAAATCAAACCTGAGTATGGGCTTCCCTGGTGGTCCCAGTGGTTAAGAATCTGCCTTGCAAGGTAGGGGATGAAGTTTCAATCCCTGTTCGGGAAACTAAAATCCTTCTTGCTTTAGAGCAACTAAGCCCTCACACTGCAACTACTGAAGCCTGTGTTCCACAACCAGAGAGTGTGAATGCCACAAGGAAAAGATCCTGCATGATGCAAAAAAGATCCTGAGTGCCACAACTAAGACCCGATAAATAAATATCAAAAATATTCCTTCTAGGGCCTATATTCAGATAGGCAGCAGAAAGGAGAGGCCTCTTGAAGCTGCATAGCCAGGCACCCTCTGCCCTGATGGCCTTCCCCACTTTTGTCCTTCCCAGAACTAAAGGCCTGGAGGAGCTGATCATGGGGCTAGCTTTTGGAATGTGGAGGTGAATGTGGGAGCAGAGATCATGAGTAACTCATGGCGGTGTGTGGAGCAGCAAAAGCGGGGTTGAGTGTGGGTGGCTTTGGCCAGGATTGCCTTGGCCCTTCCCCGTCAAGCTGCACACCTAGCTGGGGCTGAGGGTTGAGGGTGGTGGAGGTCTCATCTCTGCTACTGCCCTCCCCTCACCATCCTCAGCACTAGCCTAGCTTCCCAGGCTGTTCTCAGAGGAGAGCAAGCTTCCTGTGTCCTTCCTCTAAGGTGGCAAATCTGGGACAACTGTGGGGGGGAGTGGGATCACCCCCACTTCCAGTCCCTGGCAGAGACTGAGACTAAAGCATCACTTAATAAAGACCCCCAAAACCCTAAAATACAAAAAACAAAACAAAATATTCCTTCTATAATGGTTACCTCCCTCCCACCCTGCCCCCCAACAAAGACTGCTGCTGTGTCCTGCCCACCAGTTAGGCATATAAGATCCCCCATCCATTAAACCATTGATCTCTCCGTCACTGACTCTGAGCTCTTTCTCCAGACTTGAAACTGGGTAAGTACAGGGCTTGTAGGCCTGTGGGATGCAGCCCAACACAACTGCACACAATGATATACCTCTACAC